CTTGTTTTCGATGTCGATGACTCTGAAAACAGCCTGGGCTGTCTCTGAAGAATCAGTTTTGAGTTCTTCGTTCGGTATAAATCCTCTAGGTCTGTCGCAGATGTATTCGGTCCGCAGACTGTTCGCAGCCGAACAGTGCATGTTCTTACAGCGGTGGAGCACGCCTTTGATAAACTCGGGGTCGCACTGCTCGTAGTCAATCGCTTTCGCGAGCTGCATCACCCCCTCCGGGGCATCGATATCACGGGTATGCCTATGATCCAACCGGATCACTGCTTGGAACTTTTGACGACATTGGGGCGGCAACTTCCCTTTCCCTGGCGAGACGATAATATTCAACTCCCAGAAGGTTCGAACGGGGTTATCCACGTGGGCGTAGTAGTTTGGAATCAGACACCGAGTTCGAGTTCCTTCCACCGTCCGCTCCGGGATAGAGGTCCAGCTCTCCCCCAAGGTTCTTGAAAGAAGTTGACAAAGCGTACACCCGTCCGTCAAGAGTATCTCATCCAGAAACCCAAGATCGTTAACTAGAGGCTCCCATCCGTCGCCGTTCTTGGTTGAATTCTCCTGTGTCAGGTCCACTCCCTCACATATAGCGCATAGATTGTGAAAAGCATCCACTTCTCTTGCTTTTGCACTCAGTCTGGACTCCAGGACCGGTTCCATAGTAGGCTCAAAAGCATTTGCGGTAGCAGCCGCAAACCTCTGGGAGGTATGATATTCCATCTCGCGTAGCGCGTTGAAGCGCCGACCCGGTTGACCAGCGCTGGATTTTGTTCCAAGGGCGGTTCCGAGAATAAAAGAGAGATCACCAGAAGCGTTGTTGGGGTAGCGATTGGCCTGAGGGTCGTGCGTGTCGCGGTCAGGGGGGGCACGGCGAAACGCACCCCCCTCCTCTGCTCTCGGCGTGATGCCTAGCTCTTGTGCAGGAGTTATGGCGGTAGAAGTCGAGGGACCGTCAGTGACGATAGCGCCAGAAGGATCGACCTGACCCTCATGTTTAGCTGCGGCGTTCTCGGGTTGCGTTTCTTCAGTAACGCCAAGGATAGTGCCGAGTACGATGGACTGAATGGCAGCGACTGGAGCATTGCTTGGAAAGTAGTACGCTGGACAGTAGTCTGGGTCCAGAGCGGGCGATGGGCTCCTCGGGGGCGGCGGTGGTGCGGCGGCTTTGGAGGCGAAGCACCCCATTTTGCTCGGAGTAGTTCACTGAACGGAGGTGTCTGGAGGGGGCAGAGATATCACTCTGAAGCTGCAGATTACGATGCATGGTTGCCTTGAAGAGGAGTCGCCCAGCTCCGAGCATCAAGCATGCGGCCAAGAACGGTGGCGCGAGCAGCTGAAGCACACATGTAGCTAAGCTTCTTTACATTCGCCTTGCAAAGGTCAGGATGATGATGCGGACCTCTGTGGTGAGGGATTCCCAGGAAACAAGCAGAATATAATGGCCTAAGAGACGTAAGGTCGGTGAATGCCATACACCTTCGGTAGTGTACAGTGTCGGACCTCCGAAGGGGCCGTGCACGCCGATGTATAGGCGATCAGTGACGCGTATCTTCTACAATATCGACAAACGAACTTCGACAACGGATATCATGGTAGCGCTCGAGAAAGTCGGCCACCTCTCCGCGCCCCACCGCGTCCTCCTCGCCGTGCAATATGCTGCCGACTCAGACATCGGCAGCTTGCGCACATTGACGACGCTCCGCCACGCCGACGACGACGTCGACGTCGACGTCGAGACGACGCTGCGCATCCTCCTGACATTCCTGCCGGAGTCTGCGGAGCCTTCGACGTACGTCGAGTTCCTGGACGAGCTGGCACGCGGAAGCCGCACACCGGGCCACGACCGGGGCACCCTCGACCTCTCCCCCGTGGAGCACTTGTCCAGCTCGCAGGCGCGCAAGAAGAGACGAACTCTGCAACTAGTGCCGCTCGCGCATGCCCTTTACAGATGCGACACCGAGCTCGATGCGCTCACGCACTTCCTCGTCCATCGCGCGCACCGCATCGACGCCCAGACGGGGCTCCTGGACCTCGTGCCCCAGCTCCTCGTGCCGTTCCTGCACCGCTCCGAATTCCTGCGCACATGGTTTATTTCGACTGTGCTGCCGCTTCTCCGCCTCGGCTACGAGTACTACCCGCAAGCCCCGCAGGCTCCGCAGCCCCCCACGCCGTCGCTCGACGAATTTGCCCGACTGAAGGGAAGGCGCGCGATAGAGGTCCTGCTGGCCAACCTCGGCCAGGCGCACCGAGTGCCCGCCGCCAGAGAACATGCCGCCCGCGATCTGAGGGGCGTGTTTGGCCCGTGGGTCTGCGGCGCGAGCGAGCGCAAGCGGCGGAAGCTTTCTTCAGACGGCCGGCGCGCGTCAGTCTCGGAGCCGCCGCAGCAGGAGCAGGAGCAGGAGCAGGAGCAGGAGCAGGAGCAGGACGACTGGGAATGCCTTTTCGATTGGCTGGTGCGCAAGTCCAGGACAGACCTACCGCTAGTGTCTGCCGCCATTACAGAGTGGGATGGCCCCGAGGATTTGGACCTCGGCGGCTTTGACGAGGGACGCGTCTACGTCGACGATGACGCTCGGCGTAGACTAGAGCTTCGATACGCGCAGACGGCCTTGGTCTGTCTGTACCTCGTGGATAGCAGCAGCGTGGAGTCGCTGCAGACCGCACACGGCTTGCTGGCGCGGCTGGCAGACCTCCTCGGGCTGGAACCGCCACCATATCTCAACGTCAGCGTGGATGAATTGCCTTCTTACGACCTGACAGACTTCGCTTTGACCGACGTGTCTCCTTCCGCCCTCCAAGGAGAACAAATCTCGCGACCCGACAATGCCCTGACGCGGCCGGGACCCAGTACTGTTCGGCTGCTTGAGCTCTTCCTGTTTTCTACGTGCATTTTAACTAGCCTGCAACATCCACTGTCAATCAGAGAGGTCGTGCGCATCTATCTCCGCAACGATGCTGTCGAGCAGACAAACCTCCTGCACAACGTCGTCCACGCCCTTGCCAGTGCCGGCAAGAAGGACGACGAGCAGTGGGAAACAATCAGGTCACAGCTCCTTTGGCTTTGGAATTGGGGAAGCAGCGTGTCTCAGGGAGACCGTCATGCTCAAGGTCTGTTTGGTCACGTCCACGGTAAGACATTGGAGATGGAATTCTTGAAAGGTCTGCTGGAGAGCAGCCGTTATCCGCTAGCAGCCCGAATCTACATCCAAGCACGGCCCGGCCAGCCCCCACTGCCTCTTCCTGCGGTCGAAAAGGTGGTGTTAGAAGCGGCGATGGAACAGTACGATAATGCTACCAACGGTAACCGGACGCGCGGAGGAATGAAAAGGGCCTTTGACATCGTCTCGGCTTTCAAACCCCACTTCGCCAGGTCTCGCCGATTCCAAAGAATCCAGGCTTTGCTTTCAGCTACTCACGCTATGTCCTTTTACTCGTTGAAGCTTACACACGGCCGTCCATTTCAACCGGTCGATATCCGCGCGAGCGCCGACCCTCTGTCTCTCATCACAAAGCTGTTGTCACAGAATCTCAACAGTTATACCCATCTTGATGATCTGGTCTCTATTGGCCAGAATCTCGCCGTCGCCACACCATCGACACTTATGGAAAATCAGGATGACACGGCTCATCCAGATTCGGTGACTCTAGAAAAGAAAAGAGCCGCGGCTGAGCGCAGAGTCATTGGTATGACTGTGGAAGCAGCGCTCCAAGAGGATGACTTCGAGACTGCATATTCTTACGTAGTCAATCGGCTCACCCCGCACTCCCCGTCGCCAAATGCATCTCCTGCTGCATCGGCATCATCCAAGAGGTTCTCTTTCGGCTCATACGATTCCAACAGAGAAGAAGATGATGGCGAAGACATTTCATGGCGTGCCGCTCTTCAGGCCGGTCGCCATCGCTCATCTCCACATTCTTCGACCTGGGGACAGACTAGCGCAATTGCCCGGCCGGACCTGCGAAGACTGGAGCAACGTATGGAGCTCCTTTCACAAGCGCTATTACTCGCACCACCTCGTCATCTTGAGGAGGTCTTGGCTGTCTGGCAGGAATGCGAGACGGAAATGACGAGCCTGCTCGCTAAGGAGGAGGAAGTGGAAGAGCAGTTCAACGACGCAGCGGACCGCAGGTTGCCTGGTGCTTTTGCAAATGACACCATCGCTATACAACCACGGCGCGAAGTTGGTAGGGGCGCTGCAGAAGAAGCGCCCATGGGCCTCTTCGATGTCGCCAGGGGAGCGGCGGCTGCATTTTCAAAGACCGCGTTTCCACTCCGAGGCAATAGTCGGAATGTTTCCGGTACAGAGAGTCAGGACACAGCCCACGATAGAGGACAAATATCTACAGACTTGAGTGATTCAGGAAGCACAGGCGGTGGCACCGATGATCGGGTTCGGAGGAGGGATATGGTGGCCAATGCCGTGACGGGTGGTTTGGCCAGCGGCATTGGGTGGGTTATTGGTGAGTGCAACGTGATTTCAAAGGATCTGAGACGGCGTACTGACGTTGCTACGTTGCAGGTGCCAATCCCGCTCCTAACCGGGGTCGCGAGTAGTCTTCTTCCAAGGTCAAGGTGCACGAGCTACGATCAAAATGATGATAGTGACCAGATCGATCAGATTATGTTCAAAATTGCCATATATGTGTCATGTTACAGTACAAACCGCCGGGCCGGGATTCATGCTGTACGAGAGAACAGGCTGGTGGGCTCTCTACTTTTTTGTGCTTATATTTATACGCTCCGCACACCACTCCATGCTCAACTACCTTGCGTCCGGCCGTGCGTCGCCCTAACTTTCCTGCTCTCCTCATGTGCCGTCCTTTACCAAATTATCTCATATTGTCTCTTGCGGCTATTTTGACTGGGAACAGCCGCTCATTGGGTCGATGATCCTACATGCTCTCTCAACACTTGTAATGGTGTGCCGTTCCTGGCCACTGCCCCTTCCTTCACAACGCCCTTTCCTGCGAACACCCTGCGCTGCGAAAGTGCTCCCGCATCCAGCCGCTTCAACGCACACTTTCATCTATATACTCTGCGCCGTCACCTTCGAATTAACAACCTCTCCTCTACTCCCTCTCTTCCGTCAACATATCTCGCTTTCCTTGCCCAAGCTAAACCACATTCCATCCCAAACATACCATGCAGCTCCTCAATCTCCTCGCGACCCTCATGGGCCTCTTGTTTCTTGTCCTCGTCAGTCCCGTCCTCAGCACCGACACCTCCTGCAGTGCCGAAGGCTACATTCCCTCCATGGCCACTGCATCCGAGAGCCCGCTCGCCGTCATCGGCACGTACAGAGGACAGGATTGCCCCGCAAGCGACACGGAGTCTTGCAAGTTGACCATCTACGAAGATGGGAAGTGTTTCCAGTTCTTGCCCGACACGGAGAGCTTGAGGGTCTTTGATTCAGACAAGACGAAGTTGAAGTATAATTCTCGTAAGTGAGAGATTGGCACCGAATCGTCCTATCACGAGGGTTCCGCCACCTGCGCTGCCAACTTGGAGAGAGTAAAGCTTCTGGTTTGCACCAATAAGTGCTGGCTCCTCTCTGCGCGTACCGATTTTACGGCACCACCTCTGGCATACCATGGCAACGGTGGCTAACGGCGATAGTTCGTATCTACAAAACCAGTGACTGCACTGGTGGATGGACTCTCGAACCGCATTTCTGCCAGGGCCCGAACGGTGATGGCGAGTGTGCCTGCTCCCAGGTCTCCGTGTTCAAGAGCGTACAGGTTGTGCTTACGTCGTAGGTTAGTAGTCAACGTTCCGTCACATTCATCGGTATTGCGGTTCTAAACTTGTACAGACAATGTGCTACTGGGCGGCTGGGGTGTTCCTGGGGGGTGACCTGGGAGTCTCATGGGTCCTCGGAACTGCATACAAGGGTATCTTATAATAGCGTGATGATGCTGCGAAAACCGGTCGTTGACCGCGTCAATGGACAGGCATTGTTTCTCCCCCCAAGATACTTAATAACACATCCATCTTCCTTGAATTGCTCCACTCCAAGAATCAACTTGTCCGCACCACCCTGACAGTGATACCTATATACACCACCATGCAATACACAAAGAGAATTCATACTGCTAATACCAACACCCATCTCATACTTTACAAACTCCGTCGCTGATGCAGAGAAGATCAAAGAGGGATATCTCATCGAACTCAACGTAACGCAAGGGGGGAATCTTATCGCGTCGCCAACAAACAATGCACACTTCTCCGTCTCCATCGGTATGTGGTCCAAGCGCGATCCACATTCCAGGCCAGACCAGACCATCAATATACGCATGCCACCGCCTAGCACCTTCCAACTTATGTACCAACACTCAGTCCTCGATGCGCGCTACACCGGGGGCACCGCGTTCAGAATCCTCGTCACCTCGCCCGGCGCCATCTGGCTGTTCTGCAGACTGCGCACCTGCGAACCCTTTCTCAGGCGTGCAAGCCCAATGGCCAATTTCCAGCTTTCAGAGTCGTCGATAAGGAAGACATACTTCTTTCCGTCGGCGTCGCGGACGTGGGCGCGGAAGATGTGCAGGCCCTTGGCCGTATTTACGCCAGCCTATCAAAGAGTCAGCGAGCCGTACTAACAAGGAGCGGTAGGGAAGAACTGACCTCGACAAGCTTCAGCGTCCAGGCTTTGACGTCCCACTCACGTTGCGGTATATTCCTCACATCGTCATCGATGAACAGGCCCTCAGACTGGATCTTCAGAATCAAGCCGTCCGTCACCTTGCCCACATTGGACACGAGCTGCGCCACCGGCTTCGGGAACAAGTCGTTGAACAGATACACAGCCTTGATCTGGATCTTGTCGGGGTCGTTCGTCGAGTAAGGACCGCGCTGGCTTGGCGGCGGTGTTGTGCGCGCAGTCGATTGCGAAGCCGCGTAGCTCGACGCCGTATACGATGAAGAAGCATGTGAGGGCGGTTTTGGAGGACGCCTGGCATTGGGGGTATCATAGGGGCGGAACGAGTGCTCGTCTTCGGTGCCTACGTACGACTTCGCTGACGGCTTTTCGTAGTTCTTCTTCGGAGTGACGGTTGCCTTGATTGGAGAGGTGCGGGTAGAGGTTACCGAGGGTGCAGGTGGGCTCCGACTTCCAGCGTAGGGGTCGAGCCGCTCGCCACCTCCGAGTCCACCGTACGTTGTTGAACGTCGACCAGTGTCAATCGACGCCGATGCAGCAGCCGCCTGTGCCTTGAGCTTGTCGGCTTCGGCCTTGAGACGAGCTTCGCGATCACGCTGGGCGCGCTCGCGAGCGGCTTTGAGACGTTCGGCGCGGTCGGCGTCAGCTTTAGCTTTTGCTACCGCTGCTTCTCTCGCAGCATTTTCCTCGGCCGCCTTCTTGATAGCTGCTTCTTTCTCCTCGGCCACCCTCCTCTCCGCCGCCACTCTCGCCTCTTCGGCCCTCCGCGCAGCCTCCTCTGCGGCCCTGGCCCTCTGCTCCGCTTCCAGCTTCTCGCGTATCTCGCGCTCGATCTTTTCCCGGGCTGCCGCTTCTCGAGCCTGCCGGTCCCTCTCCTCCTTCTCCTTGGCTTCTCTTTCCTTCTGAGCCCGTTCTCGGGCAATGCGCTCCCGGGCGTCCCGTTCTCGCTGCTCCCGCTCCCGAGCTCGCATCTTCTCCCACTTCTCCTTCTCGGCCTTTGCGCGAGCTTGGCGGTCAACCTCTTCCTTCGCTTTCCGCTCTTCGTCCTTCTTCTTCTCTTCCTCCTTCTTGCGGGTCTCTTCGCGGGCCTTCTCCCAGTTGGCGCGGGCGTCGGTGTCGGGCTGCGAACCCGACCACGAGTCGTCATCCTGCGGGGGAGGTGCGGCGCCGCGTTGCTGGTGTTGGCCGTGCCATGTTCCGTGGGCGCCCTGGGGTGGAGGCGACCCGGCGCCGGTGTAGCTGCCATGTGGAGGCGGCGGCGGAGGGGTTCGTTGATAGCTGGAACCCGATGCCCCGGCACCCGCTCCTCCGCCCGGTCCTCCTCCACCGAAGCCACCACCGAAGCCTCCGCCCTCGCCCTGTGTCTTGCCCCACGCCCATCCAGCGACGCCGACCACGGCCACCAGCAGCACGACGCCGTTCCCGCCCGCGGACACGCTCTGGCTGACGATGATGAACCATTGCTTGACCGTCGGCTCGATCATAATCCACACGGCGATGCTCGCCAACGTGCTGGCCACGCCAGCAAGGAAGCTGTTCCGCTGGACCTGCAGGCTAGGCAAGTAGACAAAGCCGCCGCCCGCCGAGTGCGGCGGTATGATGAAAATGTCATAGTTCCCCGCCGGCAGTCCGCCGCTACCGCCGCTGCCGCCCGTCGTCTTCGGGTTCGAGCCATGTGGTGGAGGCGGAGGCGGAGGCGGGCCGTCCATGGCGAGCGATGCCCCTCAGGGCCGTGTGTTGGGTCGTCCAAGCAGTGTGCTGTTGTCTGGGCGAGGGCTAGGATTATCTGCAAACGAGGGGGGCGTCGGGTCGTGAGGCGGTTGTGTCGGAGAAAAGCATCAGCGGAGGTGCGAGCTTGGGGTGAAAGGAAGCAGGCAGAGTCGAGGTCTGGCGGCTGGTCAGCAAATGCAGATACAAATACGGATCCCGGGCGGGGCAATGGGCATTGACCTGCCAGCAGTGTGTGTCGAGGATTTTGCAAAAAGGTGGACAAGTGGTGGCTGTGGGTTCTTGCTCTTGTTCTTGTTCTGCGTGTCTGGTCAACTGCGGCTGGTGTGTAAACAAGCTGAAAGGCTAAGAAAAAGCCCACGCTAGCGCGCTGCGGGTAGGCCCGCGGCTACCAGTGGCTACCTGGCACACACACGTCTTTTTCCATTCGCTCGCCGCGCTGCCTCCAAGTGTTTCCCTCCAGTTTCCTGTGCCAACTCTGCTGCTCGCTCTCGCTCTCCGCCCTCTCTGCACCGCTACAGCGCCTTACAAGCGAGGCCTCGGAGGTGCACGCGCGAGGGCCATGGCTGGGCACGACAGCAGCAGCGACAGCCAGCGACAGCCAGCGACAGCGGTGAGAGAACGCGGCCGTCTGCTATTCGCTGCTTGCGCAGCGTCTCGACACGCGAGTCCAGTCTGGCCAACTACATGCATGTGCATGTTGCCCGTCACGTGCATGGAGCCAGGCAGGTTTTCATTCTTCGCGCATGGGGCTGGTGTTTGACGAGAAGAAAGAAAGATGGAGGCCTCACAAGAGCATGCATCCACGCGGACAGCTCCGCCGTGTGCGTTGCCACGGTCAAGCTTCAGGAATACCACCGGACATATATGCACCCTCTACCCCGCCGTGACACTGCAACAGCCGTTGGGCTATTCCTCTTCGGGAACTCCTCCATGGTCCGCTCCTTCCCCTGTCGGCTCAACCGCTAATCACGTCGAAACCAAACCGCACCGCTGCGTATCCCACCATTGATACTGAGCTCGTACAGCCGGACTGCCAGCGTCACAGTACCACCGGCCGACCCGTCTCTGGAGTCTGCGTCCCAAACTGGCAGCTGCCGTGAACAGTCGCCTAATATAGTAGATCTCTGGGTCTCCAAGACGCACCACGCCAATCACATTCCAGGGCGATGCCATGGTGAGATAGCGAATCATGGTCGCCGAATGGCCACGGTGGGAGGAACGAAGCGCTGCGGAGACGCAGGCACGGGGTAGATCAATCAAGACGACATACCTCCAACGGGAAGGGAGATCACGCATCTGTGGAAGTGGCAGGTGTCCTGCAACAGCAGGACTGAGATGTATAAAGCCTCGCATCCTCTGGTGGTTGCCCAAGCCACCACTATTCTCCAGGCCGCAAGAATCCACTTGTGAACGCGACCATCTTCAACCCGCATCACTCCTTTGACAGCCGATTTTGGCCGACCTTGCGCACATCGCCATGCGGTCCCCCATTCTTACCACCGTCGGTCTCGTGTCCCTCGCCCTCGCGGCACCCATCTCCTTGATCCCACGCGAGACGGATATTGAAGCAACCGACCGCCTCATCTTCGAATCGACGATTACAGAGTTCGCGACTGCCCGAGCCGCAAAGACGCCCGCAACTCTGGACTGGGAGTCTGACGGCTGCTCTAGCTCTCCGGACGCGCCTCTAGACTTTGATTGTGCCCTCGCCCTCGCTTCCATCTCGTCACCATGTCCACTGACCCTTTGTTCGCAGTCCTCCCAGCCTGCTATCGCCACGACTTCGGCTACCGCAACTACAAGAAGCAGTCCCGCTTCGACGAGATCAACAGGGAGCGCATTGACAACAATTTCAGGGAGGACCTGTACCGGCAGTGTGAGAGCGAGTGGTCAGAGCATATTTGCAAGATTGCTGCAACCATCTACTATGAGGCTGTCAGGGCGTTTGGCAACACCCAGGCGGCACAGGACGTGAAGGAGATCAGGGAGGCGTTGAAGGCGCTCAAGGTCCTTCAAGCGGCGGATATCGAGGCTCGGGTCGTGAAAACGTTAGCGACACGAGCTTGACGCGAGATGGATGATGGAGCGGGCGCTTG